CCCTTTCCTGTATCTGGACGAAAATTTTTGATGGGTTTTAAAATCTGTGAAGAAACGACCGGGGGGATGTTTACCAAACCTGCGGGCCCCCCCCAAACATCAGCAACGGCCCCACGATTTCAAAACACCATTGTCCCCCAACACCGACACCCCCAATTTTATATTAAAAATTTTTAGTGTTGAATTTTAGTTTTTTATTTTATATTTTTTTAATTTTTTTATTTTCTTTTTTAAAGTTTGGATTTAATTTTCATATATAAGTGTTTTATATTTCTATTTTTTATATAAAAAAGTGTTTTGTTTGTCTTTATTATTTTTTTTTTCCCATTCATTAATTTTCCCGAGGAGGAGGGCCCGCCTTTGGGAATACTGTCCCGAAATTGTTTACAGGGGATAAGCCCCTTTACAAACATCGCCCCCAATTTTGGGGGACATCTTATATAACCTTCTACTGTAAAATTATGTTTAAATTTTTATGGCAAAGGGCCCCCACCTTTTAAAAAGCCCTTTTTCAAATAATTCTTTATAAAATGGCCAGGGGAAAAAATTTCCCTTTAAATTTTCCCCTTAAATTTTCCTTTTGAATCGCAAAAAAAAAAAAAAAAAAAAAAAAAATTGCAATTTGTATATTTACTACCAATTCAGAGTCATGTACTTATATATCTGTTATATCTATGTGGCTCTGATGGGTTAGTATTATACCTCATTAAGAATATCTTATTATTTCACATACACCTTTTAATTACACCAAAGTGGTTGGGCCACTTACCTTTTATACCCTACGTCTCTCCCCTCTCCCACCCTTTTCCAATATTTCTATCCTTATCCATCCTTCTTCCTTACCCATCTTACCAAAGCTCTGGTCATAAGAAGAAGAAGAAGTCTGATTAATGGCTCACTAAAAGCTGAGTCATAATGGGACTTCAGTATCTCTTCAAGCTGGGGCCCAATACTGGATGTGGTTTTTGCCTTAGATTTGGCATAATAAAAGAAATACTTAGTTTTTTTCAATTTCATGTGTGGCTTTAAGTTCTTCCTGTGTTTATTGGCTCCTGTATGGTTCCCTAAACTTAAGTTCAATATTTTCTATTTTTGTGGCCAGTGCTTCCTTCTGTGTTTCAGATATATTGGCCCACTTTCAGCAACTCTGTGATTCTTCGCCTTCATCTGTAGAAGGAGTGTCTCTGTATACCTTGCATCTCTGTGGCCTTGAGCAGACCTCATGTGCCACAGAGTTCATTTTTTCTTGTCAAAGGTTCGAACCCATGTTGTTTAGGATATCTTCCCAGCTTGTTTCATTGAGGACATAGTTGATCTGGTCCGACTGTCTGCTTGTGTTATTGAAGTTCAATAATTTATCTCATTGTGCTAGTCAGAAGCCCTATGTTGTGATCTGTTATATTTCGTACCAGATCATCATTATTAGTAAAGATAGGGTCAAGTTTATTTTCCATTCGTGTTAGTTCCACTATTTTCTGGCTTAAGGTGAATTTGCTGCAGAGATTGAATAGCCCATGTGTGTATGAATTTTCATCAGAGCTGCCTCCTGGGGTTATCTCTGCTATCACAGTATTTGTCACATTTCTCCATTTTAGGTCTCTTAAGTTGAAATCAACCAGCAACAAGATATTTGGGGCTGGAGTTGTGAGATTCCCCAGACAGTAGGTCTTTAGTAGTTCCGAGCACATAAGCAACTCTGTGACATATAGGCCAATACCCCTTTGTTGCCTGTTCTTTCTGTCTTATCTGAATAGGTTGTACCCTGGGATCCGCATTTCTTTTTCAGAATCATTGATCCTTTCTGTGGGTCTCTGTGAAAGCCGCAAACATTGCATTTGACTTTGCAAGCAGTATTCTGATGAAAATCACTTTGGTGTTAATGGCTTTAGACCCTGTCGCCGTGTTGATGGTATGTGGGAGCTTTATTTGGCAGTAATATCTGTTGTTCTGGAGTGCCTCCACTCCAGTAGTGATCTGAGATGGTGTAGTATTTCTGTTATTTCTTGCAAGCTTCATTTCCTTCTAGGTACTAAAAAAATCTGTCTCTGGAGTGGTTGTAACTACCATGGTTTGTTTCTCATGGTCGGAGTGAGCTGTATTTACTTTTATTTATGTTTTTATTAACACATCAGCCTTCTCCCATCAAGGTAGGGAGGCCCGAAAAAGAAAACCTTTCGTTATCATTCACTCCATCACTGTCTTGCCAGAGGCGTGCTTGCACTAGTTATAAAACTATAAATTAACACTCTCCTTCAGAGTGCAGACACTGTACTTCCCATCTCCAGGACTCAAGTCCGGCCTGCCGGTTTCCCTGAATTCCTTCATAAATGTTACCTTGCTCACACTCCAACAGCATGGCAAGTCTTAAAAACTTTTTGTCTCCATTCGCTCCTATCTAACACGCTCATGCATGCTTGCTGGAAGTCAAAGCCTCTCACACACAAAACTTCCTCTACCCCCTCCCTCCAACCTTTCCTAGGACGACCCCTACCCCACCTTCCCTCCCGTTTAAATGGTGTGTCTGAGAGTATGTGATGTAGCATGTTTTCCATGGACTGAAGAGCAACACATTTCAGTGTGAAATTGCTTACAAGAAGAAGGGCTGCAAACACCTTTGTTCATGAGGTCGCAGCATTTTATGGGATGGTCAAAATTGTATGTTCCACCTGTTTTTTCAGATATTCTAATACTACAAATTCTCAAGGCATAGAATTTGCATAGATTTGATTTCCGTTTGCCAGGATTTTTTGTAGTTGAGTACCCTACTTGTGCATTTTTCTGACTCTCCACTATTTACATCACCCGTACTAGAAATTAGTGCCACCACCAGCTATTACTGGTAATGTATCAATACTATTCCTCAAAGCATCATCCCCTTTTTTTACATCACCAGCGGTATTTCTATTTTATATTTCTAGAACTCGTCTATGTTTATCTTTACCTGGCTCATCAATACAGGATCACTATCTCCATCTGGTGCACTGTCTGGCATCTCTGTATCCTTATAGTTACTGTCTTCCAAGGCAGCACCAACACTGTATTTTCCCATCTGTTATACTAGACTCAAATTTTCAAAAAAATTATATTTTTTTGTTGATGTTTCTGTCTTTTAGGAAAAATATTATTTTCTCCCACAGGTGTGTCACTTTAGCAGATCCAAAAACATTTTCCTATTTAAACATCATTAGTGTGGACTGATGTATGTTTACACAGGTACCATGGTTCCATTTTTGAAGAGATTACATGCAACCCACGTGAAACTTCGCTTGATACTAATGTTACAACTTACACAAGTTTTCATGATGAACTTAATAGGTGCATCTAATCTTTGAGTAATTATTATATCAAGGAATATTGGTGGATTGACTCACCTCTACACTGAACCTTCCACCCTGAGCTGAGCCTCTAAACTCCCAGCTGGATGGAAGTGATATGTTACCTCAGCTTCTTGGATTTGCCTCTTGACCGGAGTCCCCTTAGCAAAACCGTATGTGCCTTGCAGGTTTTGCTACGAAAAATACACCATACAGACCATCCCTGTATTTTGTGCACATAGCAGACTCATAATCACACAGGGGTTACCCATCAATGTATTTATTGCCAAAATTACAGAGTACATACTATGAGTACATACAGCTACTAATGATCCCTAATTGGCTCTGTTCATAGCATTTGGCAAAATTTATTTTTACATTTAATGCTTTCTGGAAGTCAAGGATACAACATTGTTGACCTTTTTCCCAGACATAGCTAAAGAAGTTTTAAATTTATTAAGTGTAGCCTTTCAATGTGAGAACTACGTTATTTATTAATAGGCTAGTATCACCCCCCCTCCCAAAAAAAAAAAAAAATATTCCTCATAATATTGTTTTCATTAGTTTAACTACAACTAACCTCTAGTTGATGGGATGTCAATTCATTTGGAACTTTGACTTCTTCAACTCACTGGTTTATTATAAATATCGACAGAAGCTGTTTGGTATAACTTCATTTAATTTTAATGATGTGAGTAATTCATTCATGGATGCATTTGCTGTTCTTAATTATTCACTTTTTTGTCTTGGTAGAATTATAGATCAGCATTGTTCTCTGGGTTTCCATTATTTTAACCTTTTTCAATGCATTCCGTTAATGCCATATTAAATTAAATACTAAAATTTCAATGTAATCAGGATACGTGGAATATTGTTGACCACGATGAGACAGGATTTTATGTTTGTTCCACATTTATCCTTCATTATTCAAAAAAACAGATGGGGTGGAAATGGGTAAATAAAAGAAAATGAGAAAGGGGATTGTGGGAAGGAAAGTGGAAGACGTTAATGGGATTAGTAACTTTGTTGAGTGAATATTTTTAAATAGACATAGAAAATATAGCAATTTGGGTTATTTTCTTTCTGGACCTCAAGTTAAGATAAGATAAGATAAGATTTCGTTCGGATTTTTAACCCCGGAGGGTTAGCCACCCAGGATAACCCAAGAAAGTCAGTGCGTCATCGAGGACTGTAACTTATTTCCATTGGGGTCCTTAATCTTGTCCCCCAGGATGCGACCCACACCAGTCGACTAACACCCAGGTACCTAATTGCTGCTAGGTGAACAGGACAATAGGTGTAAGGAAATGTGTCGAAATGTTTCCACCCGCCGGGAATCGAACCCGGGCCCTCCGTGTGTGAAGCGGGAGCTTTAGCCACCAGGCCACCGGGCCAAAACTGTTGACTACCTCCATGGTTACTGTTTACTGGTAAATAGAAAAAAAAAGAGCAGCAGACATTTTGAAGACTTGTCTGTTCGTCCTGCCTAACCCAAAATTGAATCAGATTCCCAAAATTGAATCAGATTCCCTAAATTGAATCAGATTCCATAGGTTATGTGCACTACTAAAATCTTCATTTACATTTAGATTACAACTACTGAAATGTATCTCTTGAAATATTCTGAATTACGGGACCAAAAAAAAAAAATTCAAAATAAAACATTATATGTATTTTGATTGAAGGATGGGAGCGGAGGTGTGGCTGGTGGTGGCTGGACTGATGATGGCAGCTTGGATGTACTCTCGCTGGCGCCATAGCTACTGGTCCTCCCGTGGAGTACCAACTCCACCATTTCTTCCATTCCTCGGGCACATGCACAAGCAGATTTCATTGTTCCAGTTTCGGTGGGATTACATAGATGAGGTCTGTACCTTTCACTTAATTATCATCAAAACTCCTTTCAAGAAATATCATAATATATCATACTGATAAAATATTATATATCATGTTGATAGGCTTTTTGTCTCGAATGTCTTCTAAAAGAAAATAAAAAATAAACTTAGAAAATATGAAATACTACTTATGGTTAGTAAAAATACTGTTATTAGTTCGCTCAAATTGTAAAGACAATTTTTTTTCCCAGGTGTATTACAAGAATGGAGGTTCGAAGTATTGTGGACTGTACGAACTGTTTCGTCCTGTTCTTATGATTGGTGACCCTGACCTTCTCAAAAACATCTTCGTTAAAGATTTTGATCATTTTGTTGATCGTCGGCGGATTCTGGCTGAAGATGGGAGCATTTTAAATGAAATGCTGAGTAACAAGACCGGAGACGAGTGGAAAACCCTTCGAGCCATCCTGACTCCAACCTTTACCTCAGGCAAGATGCGCTCAATGTTCCCTATCATCTGTTCCAAGGCCGACGATCTCGTCTATTTCTCCCTCAAAGAGGCTGCTATAAAACCTTTCATTGACATGAATGCAAACTTCGGACGGTTCACTATGGACACCATTGCTTCCTGTGCTTTTGGTATTGAATGTAATTCCTTCGAGAAAGAGGAATCGGAATTCGCCAAAAGGGCAGGAGATTTCTTCGAATTTTCATTATTAAAAGTATTAATATTTACTCTTTTTAACATGTATCCGAGAGTTTGTAGTGCTCTGGGAATCAAGATGGAGTTATCCCCTGTCAAATTCTTCAGAAGTGTAGTGGAGGAGACCATAGCAGCAAGGAAGTCTGGTCAGAGAAGAGGAGATTACTTGGACCTTCTACTAGATGCACGAGCTGGACATGAAGATATCAGCGCTCCTTACTCATTAACCTCAACACATAGCCAGGACGCCACTGCCCGTGACTCTCCTACCGTAGAACACCACACAGTTATCAAGGAAACCCCTTCCTCTACTGATAAAGTTTCTTTAACCCAGTGTAAGAAAAGTCAGTATTGATATTTTATTCTCATTACTTGAATAACAAAAAAAATAATGTTGATGAAGAATGGTTTTATGAATATAAAGAGGCAATACCGTGTTGGCCATGTTGTCTACAAGTCTCGTTAATTCTGACTCGGATTGCTTTATTAATCAAGTTTAATGATCACTTGACAGGATTGTGCTGAAATTTTAATTGGCAGGAAACACGATTCCGGTGGCTAAATCAGTAGTAATAAAGATACGAATTCTATTATTAATGCTACAAGTTATTAGTCAATAAGACAAACTTTGACGAGTTGTCAAATTAGATCACATCTTTTACTATTTCTTTGAGGAGAAAGAAGTACTGAATAGTCATACTATATGAGAGCTTAAAATGTAGCACTTTGGCATTTAAAGCCCTCATAATTATTTAGTTACATTATAAAGTATAACTACAGCAGTCTTTGTGATGTTCATTCATAATTGCTTCAGTTGTTTTGAAACTTAGTCAGACGCCTGGAAGTTTGATTTAATGAGATTTAAGTGTCTTGACAAGTCGTCTTAACTAATTATTGAAAAGGTGATTTAATGAAAATCTCCCGAACAATATTAGTCAGAATGTCATATTTATTTATTATTGTTTTGAATTTAAGAGTTTTAGGTCTGATGAAATAGAGTATAAAAGTAAACTGACACATCGTTTGTGAAGAATATAATAACCCAGAGGTAAAAAACGTATAAATTAAATGTTATTTCTTTGCAGTGTTGACAGATAAGAGCATCGTAGCTCAGTGTGTGCTGTTCCTGATTGCTGGATACGATACTACAGCCTCTACTCTGGCTTTTTCGTCCTTTCTTTTGGCCAAATATCCAATACATCAGCTGCATCTCCGAGAGGAGGTGCAACAGATGATTGAGGAGCATGGTGATATTACCTACCAGGGCATCCTGGAAGCCAAGTTTCTTGACGCTTGTATCATGGGTGAGAAAAGTCTCTCAGTTACGACAGTTTGGGACAACAATAACGTCCCATTTAATATCGTTTTAAATTAATATCTCTTAAGAGTTTTAATTTACCTATACTTGATAAACTGGTATTAAAACCTTATTTCTCGTTTTTGTTATAAGTAATTATATTAATTTTTTACTCTGAAAATGGCTACTCTGCTGTCCTTTTCATTTTAATAAGAAGGGCACTGAAGGATCAGTTTGGATCAGTGAAGATTATGTCAGATAACTCGACAACTGAAACTGTTTGAAATATCTGGGATCAGTAACGAATATAATCATGACACCGTAGGCTGATTATTACGTTAATGTGACACAACAAGTGTCTGGCATTGCTCGTAATATCAATAAGACAGTATCTGACACTGTTCTTAGTGTCAAGCTCAAAGTCAAGTTAACATGACGCAGCAGCTGAACGGTGGTCACCCTAATACAGTGCAATATATCAAGTATCTACCATTGTCCTTAGTTCGGTTAGAAGGGCACTCAGTTCACATGTTATTGTCCGTGAGCATGTTACCCTAAACCTGCTGCTCGTGTTCACCTAGCAGTAAGTAGGTACCTGGGTGTTTGTCGACTGTTGTGGGTCGCATCCTGGGGGAGGGGTAGTATACCTCAGATAGAGCTGGGCTTTGTAATAAGCTTAGGTAGGATAACAGCTTTTGGTCTGTAAAACTGATTTGTGTAAAAAACTCTGTAAATATCTGGCACTGTTGGTAACAGCCAGGCAGTGGTCATTTTTATGTTCAACAGCAAGTGTTTGTCACTGCCCGTAGCAGCTTAGTGATGGTCACACTAACGTAAGAGGCAAGTGTCTGACACGGCTAAATGGAACACAGCAAGTGTCTCACAGTGCCAGGGTGTTGGTTGCTAATGTAATGAACATTAAAATGGTATAAAATACCATGTAATAGAGCAAGTGTGACAGCGAGCGGAGCAGCTGGGTGGTTGTAACGCTAATCTGATACAGAAAGCGTCTGAAACAGCTTGTAGCAGCAGCTAAATCTGCATCTTAATCCGATACAGCAAGTGTCTGAAACTGTTCATGGCAGCGGCGTCAAGGGCAAGGCGTGGGGGGCTTTTGTCCTCCAAAGTCCCCCTTCCAACCAGACAGCTGCATCTCAACAACCCCTTCCCCTCTGGTGTAGAAATACTAGCGCCTTCCATGCAATGATGGTCAAGTTAATATGTCTGAGCCTGTGGCTCAATGATGACGGTAATTTAACATTATAAGTGTCTGACACTTCACTTAATACCAAACTAATGGTCATGCAAATATGAAGCAGCAAATATCTAACTGTCGCAGTAACAGACTAAGTTAATGCAACACATGTGTCTGACAATGCCTGTAGCAGCTGATAATTTAACTGAAACGAGTGTATTTGGTAAGCTGTTATTCCCCTGAAATAACAATGGTCTGACAATGCCCGTAGCAGCTGATAATTTAACTGAAACGAGTGTATTTGGCAAGCTGTTAGTCCCCTGAAATAACAATAACAATGGTCTGACAATGCCCGTAGCAGCAAACTGATGACCCTTCTAACATGAAGGAGTGTTTGACAAGGCCAAAGCAGCAAGCAGATGGTCGCTCTAACGTGACACAATATCTAACAATTCCCGTAAAAGTTGGGTGTTTATATAATTACAACACAAATGCGGCATACAATTTTTGAAGATATTTATTTTTAATTATTGTTGACAGATATGGTAAACACGAGGAAATTAAATCTTCATCAGAGTAAAAAAAAATTCTGGCCACAAAATAGAGCGAAACACCAACGTCAAAGACCTGGGAGTGATCATGTCGGAGGATCTCACCTTCAAGGACCATAACATTGTATCAATCGCATCTGCTAGAAAAATGACAGGATGGATAATGAGAACCTTCAAAACTAGGGAGGCCAAGCCCATGATGACACTCTTCAGGTCACTTGTTCTATCTAGGCTGGAATATTGCTGATTGAGACACTTATGCAGCATATGAAAATCTTTATTCAGGAAACGTTTCGCCACACAGTGGCTTCATCAGTCCAATACAAAGAGGAAGGCGTAAGGAGAGGAGGAGAATGAGGTAATCAGTCCCTCGTGGAATATTGCTGCACACTAACAGCACCTTTCAAGGCAGGTGAAATTGCTGACCTAGAAAATGTACAGAGAACTTTCACGGCGCGCATAACGGAGATAAAACACCTCAATTATTGGGAGCGCTTGAGGTTCCTAAACCTGTATTCCCTGGAACGCAGGAGGGAGAGATACATGATTATATACACCTGGAAAATCCTAGAGGGACTAGTACCGAACTTGCACACGAAAATCACTCACTACGAAAGCAAAAGACTTGGCAGACGATGCACCATCCCCCCAATGAAAGCAGGGTTCACTAGCACGTTAAGAGACCATACAATAAGTGTCAGGGGCCCGAGACTGGTCAACTGCCTCCCAGCATACATAAGGGGGATTACCAACTGACCCCTGGCAGTCTTCAAGCTGGCACTGGACAAGCACCTAAAGTCGGTTCCTGACCAGCCGGGCTGTGGCTCGTACGTTGGTTTGCGTGCAGCCAGCAGCAACAGCCTGGTTGATCAGGCTCTGATCCACCAGGAAGCCTGGTCACAGACCGGGCCGCGGGGGCGTTGACCCCCGGAACTCTCTCCAGGTAAACTCCAGGTAAACAGAAATCAATACATGGTTAACTAAGCTCATATGAACTCTAATCTCCAAAAATTTTTTTAGGTTTAACGACGCTATAATTACTTGTGTTACATTTGGTTAACGGATATAAATGCAAAATAGCTAGACTCTTCATTTGTTAATTTTAATTGATTATTTTTTTCAGAAACGTTGAGACTGTACCCACCGGGGACCTTTGGGGAGCGTCTGTGTACTAAAATTACAAGTAAGTCTTAATGTTAACCATTGTATGGTGATGTAATTACATTTACCAGGGCGGAGGTCAAGTGCTTTCTGACGGGAGTTTTAAAGTTTTATGATGACCTCTTAACTGGAGCTTTTGCTGATATAACTGATGTGACTCACGAAATTGTAATGACACGATTGCAAACAAACCATACCATGGGTGGGGTTAGAACCAGCGATCACAGTCTCAAGACGTTAGCCACTGGTCCAGTGGCTAACGCGTCGGTCTGGAGTTTTGAGACTCTCTGATCGCGGGTTCTAACCCCACCCGTGGTATGGCTTATAACTGAGGTCTTCTGTCTTACCTGTGTATCTCGTAAAATATTAAAGATCATATAATAACGTAAGAAAGAAGGAGCACTGCAGCAAAATCTACTGGCCCAAGCAAGTCAGGTTCAAGTCACACCCACTCTTGCATTTGTCTAACCAATTTTTAAAAGTACACAAAGTTTTAGTTTTAATGATGTTACTCGCCAGTTTGTTCCATTCCTCTACAACTCTATTACCAAACCAATGCTTTTCTTTATCCTTTCTAAATCTAATTTCTTCCAACTTGAACCCAGTACTGCGAGTCCTGCCTTGGTTTGATATTTTTACTAAGTTATTTACATTCCCTTTATTTATTCCTGTTTTCCTTTCATAACCTTCAGTCTTATCCCCAGGCCCGGTGGCCTGGTGGCTAAAGCTCCCGCTTCACACACAGAGGGCCCGGGTTCGATTCCCGGAGGGTGGAAACATTTCGACACGTTTCCTTACACCTGTTGTCCTGTTCACCTAGCAGCAAATAGGTACCTGGGTGTTAGTCGACTGGTGTGTGTCGATTCCTGGGGACAAAAAATTAAGGACCCAATGGAAATAAGTTAGACATCCTCGATGACGCACTGACTTTCTTGGGTTATCCTGGGTGGCTAACCCTCCGGGGTTAAAAATCCGAACGAAATCTTATCTTATCTTAAGTGCAGATTCAGGACCTTGAATCATAGCTTGGCTTTTATAAATAGTAAAGAAATGAACGATTTTTTCCTTCTAGTCTATTTTCGACCCATTATTTTATACACTACTACGCATCCTAGATGAGGAACCTTAAACTGATGGCCACAATTTGTTTTCTCCCTCATTTTTTTTTATTTAGGTTTGTAAAATGAGAATGCCTCATCCGATGAGCTTCAAATTTTCGACTCTGTTGTACTGTATCGAGGGCGAGGTTCATGTACTACTGACTAGTGCAACTGCTCTATTTCCAGAGTTGTGTAACACATTCCGACATTACTGGAATGGCAATAATTATTTTCAAAAGTTTCTGCTGAATAAGAGATAAGATTTCGTTCGGATTTTTAACCCCGGAGGGTTAGCCACCCAGGATAACCCAAGAAAGTCAGTGCGTCATCGAGGACTGTCTAACTTATTTCCATTGGGGTCCTTAATCTTGTCCCCCAGGATGCGACCCACACCAGTCGACTAACACCCAGGTACCTATTTGCTGCTAGGTGAACAGGACAATAGGTGTAAGGAAACGTGTCGAAATGTTTCCACCCGCCGGGAATCGAACCCGGGCCCTCCGTGTGTGAAGCAGGAGCTTTAGCCACCAGGCCACCGGGCCACCAGCTTTCTGATGTTCAGAAAAGTTGTGTCTTGATGAGTCAAGGTGGAAACTGAAGTGAACAGATGTTCATTTAACAAATCTGAGTGAAAAGTACCAGATATTTACCGTCTGAATGAAAAGTACCAAGGCATATACCAAGTATGAGTGAAAAGTGCCAAGACATTTACCAAGTATGAGTGAAAAGTGCCAAGACATTTACCTAGTCTCTGTGACAAGTACCAAGATATTTACTAAGTCTAAGTGAAAAGTACCAAGACATTTACCAAGTCTAAGTGAAAAGTACCAAGACATTTACCAAGTCTAAGTGAAAAGTACCAAGATATTTACCATCTGAATGAAAAGTGCCAAGACAATTACCAAGTATGAGTGAAAAGTGCCAAGACAATTACCAAGTCTGAGTGAAAAGTGCCAAGACAATTACCAAATCTGAGTGAAAAGTGCCAAGACAATTACCAAGTCTGAGTGAAAAGTGCCAAGACAATTACCAAGTCTGAGTGAAAAGTACCAAGGCATTTTTATTCCGTTGAAGTTTCGTTAAATATAATTGACCGGGCAGCGGGGGCGTTGCCCCCCGAACATCCGCCAGGATGTAAAAAGACTTCGTTATGTAACAGCAGAAGCATCTTACGGACAAGATAGTACCATTAACCTCAATTGTTTGCTGGCAAATTTGTCAGTATACTAACAAACTTAAAAAAAAATTAGGATCGTTGGAATGACTCTTCAGGTCAACATATAATTTTCTTCAATAGCGTTTTTACCGTAATGCTTTTTCACGTTGTTATAACGTTGCTTAAACAAAAATTCGCCAATTTTATTGACTGAACAGTAAGAATGATTTACATTCAACAACTGAAGAATCGGCTGATTGCCCTCAAAATTTTAACACTGTTGTTAGTCCATAAGAGAGATAATAACCTACACTGTTGTTAGTCCATAAGAGAGATAATAACCTACACTGTTGTTAGTCCATAAGAGAGATAATAACCTACACTGTTGTTAGTCAATAAGAGAGATAATAACCTACACTGTTGTTAGTCCATAAGAGAGATAATAACCTACACTGTTGTTAGTCAATAATATTTACGTGACCACGATTACTACTCTTACATGTCAACCTGACCAACACTATCACACCTTTATAATTCCATTATAAGCCTTCATTTTCAAGTTTCTCTCCTGCATTGATCTAGCAACAGATAAGCATAACATCTAATAATCACAAATACCAAGTGTTCCTTGTGTGTCATATTCATTTACGTTACAGGAACATCTCGTTAATCTCACAAAACCACACAACTCAAATTAGATTTCACTTTTACAAGTAATACTGTACCTAGTAATAGAGTGCTACCTCTAGGCTGCAGATTGTTAGGGGCATCACACTCCTCGATCTCAGACCTGGCCTAATTTAGAGTCAGATCAGTTAGGCAGTTATGGCAGACATAACTAAGAAAAACGTACCAATACAGCTGGTCAGGAGCATCTTTGAGAAATATCTCCTATTTCCTAATTTATATCTAGATAGAAACACTCAATTACTTCGAATGAATTTTTAGTGTCATTCCAGATTGTAAACTAAAACGACACTTAACAAAACAGATTACCTGGCACTGAAGTGACTCTTCACCCTGGTGACCTAGTGACCATCCCATTTTGGAGTCTGCATCATGACCCTCGCTACTGGCAAACCTGCCCGAGTTTCACCAGACCGTTTCCCTTTCCCCCGGAACAAGGCGAAAATCACCGGTTTACCCACATCCTTTGGGAAGGGCCCAAAGGGAACTGCATGGTAATTGTTTATGTATTATAAAATATATAAAAAAAATTTTATATATATATAAAAAAATATAAAAATTATTTAATATATTTAAATTTTTAATAAATAATATATATATTTTAATTATTAATATATATATATATAATATTTATATTAATAAATATATATATTTTTAATATATATATAAAAATTTATATATATTATAAATCCCTGCAAGCCCGGACCCCACGTTAGATTCACAAACCAATGAGAAAACTGCATTTGACCAACGTAACAAAACCTCAAGATTACGGGACATTTTTTTCCCTACTTGACCACACTGGAAAACACCATATCCCCTTTAAAATCAGGCGTAATTACGATAATCCCACAGACCACTACCCTATTTTTCCTCATAACAACTTTTGGAAAAAACCCCCCCAAACCTAAAAAAGTCACCTTCAGCTTCACAATGAGGCACCCTTTAAATAACTTCAAAACAGCAGTAACAAACATTGACGGGGCACACGAGCAGAAATCTATACAATATTGACAAATGTTTTAATAATTTTCAAAAAAAAGACCCAAATACCCTATAAAAAGCACTGCCCAAAAAAACAAACAAGCGCAAGAGACTGAACATTCCCTGGCAAACCCCACTTTCCAAACCCATAATACAAAACCGATAGAAAAACTACAAAAGGGGTCAAAAACCCATGACCAAACAAAACGTTACCGTAAATCCAACCAGCCTGTAAAAAGGGGCAAAAAAAAATTTATGAGAACAGATTACCCAACTTACGGGGGTGATATAAAAAAGACCTGGAAGACCCATCAAAAATTCGGGGAACAAAAAAGAATAGAAATAGAAAAAAAAATTAGCAAAATCAGATGAACCCCAACTCCCCCCCAAAAAAACCAAACAGACTCAAATTTCTTTCTCCACTATGGGGACAAAACCTTGCCAATAAAATCCCAAGCTCAGATACCCCACCAATGACTACCCCCACTGGCAACTCCCGAACCACGTCCACCCGAAAACCCAAAACAATCCCCCCTTATTAAAACCAAAAAAAACAGGCAGGGATTTAAATACCTTACCCCCCTTTTATATACAAAAAGTGTCACAAGTACTATCACCAATCATTCAACACTTTTTTAAACAAATCCTTAAAACCCCCCCTTCCCTACGCTCCAAAAAGAAAGGGGTCCCCCGACCATAAAGGGAGAACCAACCAGGTTTGAAAACTATAGGCCAAAACCAATTTACACCCCCCTCAAAAATCCCTTTGAAAAAAAATTCATAAACAAAACTACTCCCCCCCCCCCTCATCTCCCCCAAACTTCCAACCCCCCGCCCAAAAATTTGGGTTCAGGCCTAATAAAAATCTAATGATGCATTATACACGCTAGAACATATATACATGCAAAAGAAAAAAAAGAGTCCCACGGGGATCTTCATTGACTTTCGTAAAAACTTTTTAACGTTGACCATGACTTGCTCCAGTAAAATTGTCACACTATGGTATAAGGGGACTCCCTAACTACCCAAGTCATACCTCAAACAACGAAGCCCTATTGTAGCAAATGGGGGAAGCTCTTCCGCTCAAACCAATTA